TAATAGCTTGTTATATGACTGTAAATAATATAAAAAATATTAAAAATTAATTTTACACAAATTTCTTTACACATTATTCTTTCACAATGCAGTCATTTTTACTGCTTTTGGGCAATATAGGTATAAACTAAATTTCAGTGTTTCTAGTGTTAAGAAACGTGGAAAGACACGAACAATAAATTGAATGACAATATTAGAAAAATGATTAATTTCCAATAAATACATTTACAATACTGATGTGTTTTTTTTTCCAGGGAATGTTCTCGATAAGCGCAAAGCAACAAGTATGCCAGCTGTTCTTCATCCAAGTCGTTCTAATCATTTTAATGGCCACGCTGATGACGTACGGCCCGGAGTCGAACGCTAATTTGCTAAAAAGCCACACGGGTCAGTATACATACCGCGTAACTTTACGCCTTATGCGAAATTACATACTACCTACATACATACAAATATGTGCATACGCGTCGCGGAACTTATCGTCAGAGAACGCTGTTATCGTTTAACATTCTGTGACGCGCCGACTCGAAAATTATACCCGCGTTGTCCTACATTAATTCTTGCCCGGTTTTATCCGACGAGACGTCCGTCAGAATGATTATTTGAATAATATCGTGAAAGAATTTATGCGAGAATACGGTTAAATTTACCTTTGCACGTAACGTTGTTTATCGTGAAGACACAGGACAATAATAGATGAACAGTAAAAGATGATATAATGGTAAAAATAAAGGGCGGAATTATTCTCTCTGTTCTTATTTCGTTGCCAATAAAATTGCTACGTCTACAGTTCCAATAAAATAAGAAAGCGAGCATCCGCTTACGGTTCCATTTCTGTGTACTCCAAGGAAAAGAATTCCTTTCGAGCTTCCACGAGAACAGACCGCCTCGAGGCAACGAGCTAACGCAGAAGGGAACATTTTTCCTAGGGCACGAAGGATTCGTGAAATCTCCTCAGCCCATTTCCATTTGATAGATATGCGTATAATTGAAACGGTAATTAAACTTTCAGAAGACCGCGGAAGTCGGAAGGACGTCAAGGAAACGGACCCGTTGCGGATCTATCCGAGTGAGTATTCCAACGAATTTACCTAATTCCGTATTTATATTCCAACGAGAACCTCTGTCATCTTTGCTTTAACCTAAGCAAACTGAAAATTTTTATCGTCTTTCTCTAAAATTAACATCACTTATACTATTAGCAATTTCTGCATAAATTAAAATTTGTGATTAACTAAATAATAAAACAACGCTGATTCTTGATATGTCGAATTTTCTTTCGTTTCATATTGATGGATTATTGCCTTCGGAATAAATAAAACGTGTGCTTGATTTCTAATAAACGCAGACGACTACTGTGCATCTCCGCAGGCATTTATTAATTCGCCCTTTGAATTCTGGACGTTTATTCGAGGCTGGCCTGAATCGTACACACGAATTCCGTTCACTTTGTCGCGTATGCAATGTGTTGACATGAATTTATGTACGTACCTATATACAAAACACTATAAACACGAATTCCGACGAAGATCAATCAACAGATTGGATTTTGGGAATGATACTGATTTAGGTTCTATGAAGTCGTCTCTAACATTGATTCCATCCAGAATCGACTGAACTAGGATCAGTGCCAAGATTCGTAATATTTATTAACGAAATAATTAATCGATTATTCCTGAAGTATTTTAGGCAAAAAAAAATTGTATACGACCTTTTTTGCATGAAATAGCAGTGTCTACAACTTTTACTTTNAAACTATTCTATACTATATTCTAAATATTTCAAAACAAAGTTCTAACTCTAATCAACTACAAATAAGATTTAATACAATTTCCTATTAGTACGAATAATTTAAAAGTAAAAATCATCAAGTGTTCTTGAAATTGTCTTTCACTCCAATAGAAGCAGATAACGATTACATCTGGTCAAGGATCGTTAAATAAATATGCCAAGATTCTTTTTCATTCGTTTATTAATCAAAATTTATCCATTTTCACAATACATCAGTATTTAGTACATTCTATTGTACTAAAGACGTGGCTAGAACTTGTTAGGAGGGATTAACCGTAGACCGGGATAGACCGAACTTTAGGAATATTTATTAAAACGATTGAGACGATACAGAAATCGTGCGAGCTCTGATGCTCGTACATGCTGAACACGTTGTACAATGAAACCGGAAAGGGCTCCGATCAAATATGTCGTCGATGTAGGACGGAAGTGCACACAGCACCTCCTGATGGCAACCGGGGGAATCACGGATCGCCTAGGGATTTGTCCATCTCCAACAGGACTGCTTTTCATTATTCATTAACAATCGTGAGCATTGAGCTATATAAATCATCTGGAGTGTGCACGAATGGGAGGGGTCGTTCGCCGACAAAGAGGAACCGTGAAGGAATCTCTTTCTCTTTCTAAGTGTATAATGCATGTTTTCTGAACCTGAACTCGGACTCGTATATGTCGAGTGATTGACAATATTATAAATTCAAGTGATTCGATAGAATATTGAACTTCTATCCCCACCATAGTTAAATTTACTACAAGATAATATAAATAGAGAGAGAGAATATAAAAAGAAGGATAGAGATCCCCCATAGCTTCTCGCTTCTTGGAGCATCGTCGCTACTCTTCTATCTTACGACTTTTGACAGCCGCGCACACTCCAGATATTTTATATAGCTCAATGCTCGTGAGTGACATGAAAATCGTAACAAGGTGACTCATAAAACGAGAGATTAAAAAAACTAGATTAGTCGATCGGTTTATTCATATACTCAGTCTGTGATACTGATACGTAGTATACGCAGGTACGAAATCGCAGGTAAACGCCGCGGCATTTAGTTGCAGGCTACGTTCTAAAATGTAAGCACAGCCGGAAGTTAACAACCGCGCTGGCATTATCCAGTGAACTTTCTGAAAGTTGCTTTTGCTCGCACGAGCCTCGGAACGCCTAAATTTGCGTTTTACGCGTTCCGAGGCTGAACAGCCGGAAGTGAAGCTGTTTCACAGAATTTAAGATCAGTAAATTGAACGGATACAAAAATTTACAAATTAATAGTACTCGTTTTTGCTTCGTTTCTTATTTTATTCTGTCCAACCATTATATCAGCTCGTATGAAATTTTACAAGAAATTCACGAGGTTCTCCAAGAACGTAGTGAAAGTTTTCCAATAATCATAACTCTAGACGGCAAAACGAGGCTCATTCAAACTGTTTAACGTGGTGTAATATAAATTCACGCGACTTAAACGGGAATGGAGGAGCAAAAGTCCCGACCTGTCGCACCTCTGTAAGATACAGCCGATCTTTATCGGGTTATTCAAAAGACCGCGGCCCTCCGCGCGTAGAAATGGTACGCAGAAGCTCGACGATCCACTTCTGAATCGAGTGTCGTACGAGTCACCGGATCGAATTCCAATAAACAGTGAGGGATAGGAGCACCGGTGGCAGCCTCCTTTGCCGTCGAAAGTGGCTGTTAAATCGGTTCGACGGGCGTTAACGAAGGCGAGGTACGTTTCTTTCTCTATGTTCTCGTCGATATTTTTCTCTTCTTTCCCTACCGAAGCCGATCCGACCATGATGTAAAAACATAAGGTGTGTTAAATTCTTCCAGCGTGTTCAAATGCGTCGCTGTTTGCGCCTTCCACTCATCGGCCATATTGGAAGTACGATGACCTATTGTTTAGTTCAAACACGCATATACTATATTACACTCCGAGAACCTAATTTTTGACATGTTTACGATTTTAAAATTCGCTCTGTTTTAATATGAAGCGTGATTGGTTAGAAATTCAAAATGGCCAACGAGTGGAAGTGTCCGTGTACCATTGAGATATATGTGCCCATAATT